TGAAATTAAATTAGAAAAGAAGATACGATAAAAGATTCTTTTTGTTTTGTTTTGCTGTTTATGGGCTGACTAAGGAACTTTCTGAAGACGCCAAAGTTCACACCCTCGGTGGATTTACGATCACGCCTTTTAAGTTGGTAATTTAAGGTGGATTTAAGCTCGCACAATGAGAACTCGATTATTGAATACAATTTTTAAGTTATAAAGATCAAGACGATTTTAGCAGAGAATGAAATCTGTCTACAGTCCGTAATCGTCAATGGCAAAGCCACAGCACGTTTCCTGCCCTACGTGCTCCTAAACAGTATTAGCGAACTGCTTGTACAACAATAACACGTCTTGGGTTCAAGTCATGACACGACGAACATCCAAAATCAAAGAAAATTTTGAATCGGCAAGAAATGTCAACTCCTCTGAGTAGATTTGTGACATGAAGCTTCTTTCATGCTTCTCAGAAAAACTCCATAATCTATCGGAGATGGTTTAGAATAAACTGTAGATCTCTCCTTTGTTGGGAAACATCAAGATGCACGTCACAAATTGCAGGCTGTGACCCATTTTAACTTGTTTAATTGAACAAAGTTCAATTTCTCAATCCAATGCTTTACGAGGACTCCGCTCTTTCCTCTACTTAGCCCTTTCGCAGTTTAAATCTCTCATTTACTTGAAATCCACTTAGAAGACTAAACGCATCTACTGGCTGTGCCTTTCATGCAACTTTCGAATGAAAACAAATGCTTAACGCTTCGCTCAACCTTTCGTGGACTACTTCAAAGGCTCAATCGAAGTGTCAAAATCAGTGCACATCACAGCACAAGTGAAACTAATAATTTAATCAGTTTCTACTTACCTGAAAGGATTACATTTACTAATTAGCAACGACTTTCCAAAGCACATGATGAGAAGCACTCTTCCCTTTGTACGAGTCGAGTGAGTGATTCATGCAAACATCTTAACTAACACAAAACCCAAAACTACCTCCTCCGCCTACAACATTAAATGCAACCAATCGGCGCTCTCGAATGAACGACCTAATTTACTGCATAATATTAATATGCATTAACCCATTTATGGCGGTAAGTACCTGTCTCAGTGCCATAGACCCAATCAGCTGGCATGCCAGCCAATTCCATAGCGAACTCTCTCACTTTGTCATTTCCACACACCGATACAAGTATTCATCTATGCAATTCTACCTACACGGCACAGGTGATGATGAATAGTTTGCACTTGCGGTACTTGATGAACACTTCAACTGTATATATATATGTGTGTGTGTGTGTGTATGTATGTGTGTGTTTGTGGTGTCAGAGCTTCATTGCATTCAATGCTGAGCTGTGGGTTTGCGAGTGTTTTAAAGATGTGTCTGCGTGTGTATGTGTGTTAGTAGTGCAGTGCGGCTGAGTATTGTTGAGTCCGGGTCTAGTGTTGAGTGCTGAGTGGGATGTGTGCTCAATCTGACCGCAAGAAAATCAATTTACCACTCTGCTGCAGTATTAATGTTTCATGTTTAATTAAAAGTTGAAAAGTGTGCAACACAATACAACTACGTATCTATATGTGCAGCTGCCTACATACATATGAATATGTCTGTATGCAGATTAATCAAGGATAATACACAAGAAATTCCTCTGAATATATTATAATACGAATCGAAGAAGATGGAAACGAATTCATAGGTTTTGCGATAGTGTAAGTGAGCTGAGTGAAGTCTTCTCAGAAAAAGAAACCTCGGTCTCTGATTCATCATATGAAAATGTATGATAGATGGTCTCTTAAGTCAGAAACTACAGCTGTCCATTTAGTTGTTAAAGTAGAGACTTACGATTTCAACGCTAAGTAGTAACATATTTGGGAAACTCAGTCTGCAAAGCGAATTCTTAGGCTAATCGACTTTGTCGTGGTACGAAATATATTGATAGCACCAGATTCGGCTGTCACCGGAACGAAAAATTCTTTAATTTGTAGCGGAATGCTTCACCTCAGAAGACATCCTGTTTCCACTTTCCTAAAGTAGGTGCATCAATATAGACCTACATAACCTAATACAACTCACTTCCTGATGTAATAAAAGGCCTAGCTTGATCAGCTACAACTTAGAGTTCGTGTTGATTTTACTTCGGAAGCCTCAACTCCAACTTAGGTGTACCAGCTCTTTGCATGCCTACTTGCTGAACTTACTTAATTTGCAATCCAACCCCTCCTAGTAGAAAAATCAGTCTTAAGCGATGTTCATCTAAGGAAAGGTCAAGAAACGGGTTGCTGCGACGCGTTCGGACTAGAGGGGGAGGTGGTTTTAGAGAGCATGGAAATATGTGATCGCGCTGGAGCTCACTGCATTGCAATTGCCGCTTTTAAGCATCCATGCCCAAAGTTGTACGACCATTTCGTGCCCATTAACAGCACAAATGTAAAAGTGACAGAGGTGGAAACCACAACCACAGAAATTCGAAACCAATGTTGTCGACAACAAAGAGTGCAGCATGACAAAAAGCGACTGACTACCGTTAGTTACAGTTGTTGCATTTGCTGTTGTGACTGGGTAATGCCTATGCCTGGAGGTCGCAAGGCATGAAGTAATTGAAACTGAAGATCATCAATGCGAAGGAAAAGTAGCCAGCCACAGTCGGATGGTGGTGGCTGCAGGGTAGCATGGCATTGCACTTTTTACTTTACAGTTCACAGGTTGTTGGCTTAGAGTGACTGTGTTGTTGTTGCTACTGCTACTGCTGCTGCTGCTGCTGTTGGTTTGGTAGAAATAATAGTATTAATTGTATCTATGTACATTCATGTGCGTCTACTATTTGCCTCAAACTCATGCTTACTGTTTGCTGTTGTTGTTGGGCTGAAAGCGTAGTAAAAGTGCAACGGCAATTTGTGAAAGTACAGTGAAAATTCGAGTAAGAGCAGCTCAGATTTTACCAGATGGTATTACGTAGTATGAAAGTGCAACAACAATGCTGCAGAATACTTAGACGATTTCGAAATTACTACTTTTCATACTGTTAGTGAATAGTGAAAAGAGCTCTTCTAGGCTCACTTTTCTAGACAAAAATAAATTTTGGTTTTCATATTAATTTTTCGAGTCATGATTTGAGTATTGGTTCGACCAACAACCAAAATTATTTATTCTAATTACGGTTGCCACTTGGCAGGGCATATCGAGCTGTCCGAGTGTACCAGCTCTACCATATCAAGTAAGGGCTCTTCATAAAAATCCATCAGTTCTTTAGAGGCGGCGTAGAATAAATTATAGGCCCTCCCTATTTGTTAGAGAAATATCACGACGCACAGCATAAATTGGAGTAACAGCTTGGCCAAAAATCGCTTCAACAGTTACGAAGCGCCAAAAAAAATCTATCTCAAAAATTCATGTAATATGCATATATAGATATGAATTCTGTCGCACGGGACACATGGCGCATAAAGCGTTTTCTCTTTAACGATATATGCATGTATGATTTCTTTTATTTCCTGTCTTAAGTAAGATTTTGAAAAGCAAAAGTCAAGGATTAATGTACGAATATCTCATTTTGAATTATTTCTTTTTTTTTTCAAAAATAATAAAATAAATAAAAATAATAATAATCCAAATTTGTTACTGCGAGAGTTAAAACAAATATTAATCATCGAAAATCTCTCAATTGTTTTTCAAAATATATGATATTGTTCTAAGATCTATACACTTTTGTCGCTCTGCTTGAAGTATCTCCGAAACATGCGTTCCGAAGGTTTCAAGCGCCTCATGAGGTGCCGACAGACATTGACCTCTCAGTGCATTTTTTTTTTTGGTAAGGGAATGAAAAGAAGTCATTCGGTGCCGAGTCAAGACTCAACGGTGGACGACTCATCAAATCAAACTTCTAACTGCTCAAAAATACCGTTGTTTCCGTCCTATGTGTGAAAGCTCACATTGGCGTGGTTCTGCGGTTGGTTTTCCTGATTTCTTGAAAGACAACTGGCAAACAAATGATTGTGTACCACTCAGGCTTAACTGTTATGCGCTGGACCACGGTTGCAACATATCTAGTTTAAAAAAAAATATATAATTGAATAAATAAACAGTCAACCATTTGCTTGGAAGTGCTGCGTTCGCGAGCGCTGGATTCGGCTAATCTTTAAACGCCCATGCAGTCGATTGCAGTTTATTTTGGGTCTTATACCCATAAGTCTACGATTCATCACCTGTCACGATGCCACAGATGTGTTTCGAAGCACTGCTTTCGTATTTTTTAACATTTCCCTCGACCAATCGACACGAGTCTTTATTTTATTTTTTTTTTTTGAGCGAGTGACCAATTGTGTGGGATCCAATGTGAAGAAAAGTTTTTTACAAGCAAATGCTCTTGCAATATTGCATATATGTTGATCCCATTATTGCCTGTAGGTGTCTCAATCTCATGGTAGGTCACATGACGCTGTTGCAAAATCAGTTTGGGCAGAGCATCATTAGTTTAGGCGACCTAAAGCGATCTTCACACGACCTCGATGGAATTCACCTTACCATCGATAAACATCGGTTCCTGATCCAGCTTTATCGCCAAAATTTGAAATCGGTTCATCGGTGCTAGGCTCCTGAGTTAAAACACTTCGAAAGTTCTAAAAAAAAACTCACGAAAATTTTCGCGATGTATTTTTCTTATGGGCCGAGATGGATATGTTAAGTAACTGAGTATGCATAACATCAAAAATATCAAACTTTACGATAAAGCTGGTAGTTGTCAGATTGCAAGACAAGGGTTGCCAAATCCAAATCCATAATATAATAGGTAACCCTCGTACCTAATGTGTGCTGTAGCCTGCTTGAGTAAAATTTTAATAATATTATATTTTGCGACAAATAAATGTCAATTTTTGTTTACATTACAAAATATGTTTTACATATCTCCATACATATGTACATTCATACGATTTAGTTAACTTTTTTTCTCATAACTTCTCCCGCCTCTTTTTTTTACAGTGTGTTTATATTGTTGTTGTTTCTGTTTATTTCGTTCTAGGTAAGCCTGCACTCATAACAAATTCGAGAGCCAATTCTTTATTTGACATTTTTGTTAAACAACGCGATGTTTGTATGGTAAATATTTGTTAAAATTGTATTTGTCTTTAAAAAATATTTGCACAAATAAAAACTGGCTTGCAAAATAAAATATAAAATATTTCCTGTTCACCCATCGATTATACAATATCAAGCGAAAAGAGAGGAAAATTAATAAAATTGTGAAAATAAAAGCGCGTTCTGTTTGCTTAGTTTATATTTTACATAAAAAAAAAAACAATTGGGTCTGATACAATGAAGTTGATAGGCAAAATAAATAAAATATATTTGTGTGACGGTGTTTGATATTTTTTCATATGTATATTTACTAAATTTTTTAACATAAAAAACAGTAGCTTTAAAAATTTGACTTGCAATTTTATATAATATTTTTGCTCTGAACTTTGTTCCGTTCACACCAACACAATAAAGGTCAGTAGTCTTTTACTTAAGGAAGCTCATTGAATTAATCTAGTTTTTCACGTAGACAATAAACACAAATTTTCACAGTATACGTGTATATCTATGTATGTATGTACGTTAAATCTTGCACTTAAATGGCTCATCAAACCGTTTTGGCTTGTTTCATAATAACAGTAGTAAATGACTGTACCTCTTTTCAATGTGATTGCATAAAATTTTTCTTAAATAAAAATTTAATTATATTCAAGTTGAATAATAGAAGTTGACCTTGCCGCATGAGGAGTTTGCCTGTGGAGATAAAGTAAAGTGAAACATCTGACCCCCCCATGTGTTCGTGACCATTAAAAATTTACGCGAAAAGTTCATTTTTCAATGCCGTGGGCTTTCAGAAAAGCATGTCTATTATAATATCTTCGAGTTCCTCCTTTGAAATACAAAACTCAAAGCATACATAACAAATGGCATCGCCATCTAATATTTAAAATCTATTGAGGAGAGATAATTCGTTCTTTTGAGCCTAATTTAGACTGATTCTTTCTTCTTTAACTGTCTCGGAAACGAAATTTAAAAGGCACCAAAGGTCGTCCACATCAATATTCTTCAATTTGGGCACGAAAAAGTCATTAATCGTGGCTCTATAGCGTCCTCCATTAACTGTAATACTATGGCCGGCCTTACTTTTGAAGGAATGCACGTATGCACCAATGATCTCCTCTCCGCATAGAGCACCGCATTTGAAAAGCACACTTTAGATTTCATTTCATTTCCCTTTATTTGATCTTAAAATTTTATATTTTATTTTGATTTAATATGCTTTATTTTATTTTCTTTTATATTATTTTATTTTATTTTATTATAGTATTAATATTAGTTTTTTTATGCTCATTTTTTTAAAGTAATTTATTTTTTTAAACTTAATTTTATTCATTGAATTTAATTTATTGTTGTTATTTATTTAATTTATTAATTAACTTATTTTATTCTTTTCCATTTTGTCATTCTATTTTATTTTGTTTCATTTGAAGTAATTTAATTATTATTTAAATTATGACATTTCAATTTGTTTTTTTTATTAATTTAATATTTTATATTATTTAATTAAATGATATTAATTTAAATTTGTTTTAGTTTATTCCATATTCTCTGTAGAACACTTTGGCAGCCGCTGGTAATTTAATTTCTCTGACATAAATATATGTATGTATAATGAGATGTAAGCACTTGTAAACACGGTTCTACGTGGCATATGTGCATGTAAACGCACATACATATGGATATGCGTATTAACAATGCGCTTATTGTTAGTTTTTTTTTTGCTCCAGACGTTGTTATTGCATTTGGGATTCGTCTTGGCTTGTAGATTGGAGTAATATTTATCTCTGATTGATAGGAAGCAAATGGCGCAACATTCATAGCTACTGAATTAACTCATGGACATAAAGGCATACAAACCTACATATGTTTGTTGTTTGCGTCTAGGCACCTGTATTTGCAGATAAGCATGTGCATATATAAAAATAAAAATATATTTCTTAACTTTCCTGCTAGCAACTTTGCCGCGTACTCATTTAAGGCTTTTAAATGCCGATCGATCGATCGATCGATCGATCTGGACTTGTTTGTATCTATTTTATTTGTTGTTGTTAGCATATTTTTATTTTGTGTTGTCATTAACGTCAAACGCCAACATTGCTATTAACAGTCAAGCGTACATTTATGCACGTACAAACACCTCGTTTGCTGTTGCTGTTGTTGGTTTTATTGTTGCACCATGTTGTAGTGCATAGGCAGGCATGCAATTGAAAGTGAATTATTCATGATCCACTCATTCCAAAAGCGATGCAATACAAAAACATACAAAGATAATAACAAAAAAAACTTAACAATAGTATGGAAACTGTTTCAAGGAAGAGTGCGAAGACTAACATTGCCTGTTGACTGCATAAGGTTTGCATTATAAATGCTGCTATTGCTCCGCTATTGATTCCCGAGAAACACATTTAGGGTTGCATATTTTTCATATTTGCAGCGTCTCGTTTGATTGGCAAGCTTCTACGTGATTTTTACATTTTTCCTTTTTTCACTTCTTCTGCTCATTACTTATGGTGTTTACTTTAGATTTTTCTCATTTTTTTCTTTTTGTTTGCTCAGCTCTCTTGTCTTGTTTGTGCATTTAACTCAACATTTCTTATGCTCACTATTATTATTAGGTTTTTATTTACAACTGTTGCTCTACACTCTTTAACTCTATATTTATTGTTTTTATTTGATTTTAATATGTTTTCTTGTTTTTCCTCTTCTTTTGTCTTTTTTTCCTTCGCCAATTGCCGTGTGGTGCGTCACATTTGATTTCCATGAATTCTCTGCCACTTTAATTTGGCGGTGAAGTGTCAAGCGCCCAAAAACAACGTGCATATGTGGATACCGTAATTCATGTAAAGTGCGAGTGCGAGTGCGAGTGTGAGAGCGAAGAGTGTGTGTTGGCGCATATTGCATTGTCATGAAATTGATTGGCTGTAATAAATTTTGAAGGTTAATTGCGCGCATACAAATCGAATTACATTTTATGTGTAGATAAAAATAAACAAATGGCTAAAAAATGATGCCTTCGCTATCAAAATATTATTTTTACATTATTTTAACGTGTGTTTTTTTTTAACTATGGTTGTTTTTTATAGTTTTTTTTTTTGGGTTATCTCAAGTGACCAGATATCGCAAATACAATTGTATGTACGTATGTATGTATGTATATATGTCAATAATCAACAACTGTTTTAATAAACTGTGATTGATGTGAATAATGGAACTAACAAAATAACAATCCTTTTATATAATAAAATGGACGGAAGCGATTTCAATTAATTTTCAATACAATTTTTTATATTATTTTTTTTTTTTTTTTTTTTTTTTTAGATAAGTGCATTCATATGTATATACATATGTATGTACTTATATATATATGTATTTATAAACGCATGATTACTCAAAAGTAAAAATTTACTTATCGACCTTTCAATTTTGCTGCCACTACGTATGTACACGGATATGTACATAGGTGCATAAGGCTATCCATTTCGTGGTTTCAAAAGCACATGGCTGTATTTTGACATCTGTCAACTTTAACAGCCAAACCAAACATGTGTTGTTTTAGTTAAAAGCCAGAAATTTATGAAAATGAATCGCTAAAAACCCGGAAATCGCGTTGAAATGGTTAAAACCTGCAACAAAAATGGCGATTCAAACGTGACCACATTTTGTGTCGGTTTCAGATATTGTGTTATAAGGCCTGTGTATTATCATTTTGCTCGTTCCACCTTAATAACCTTAGTCCAAATGTGACTACTTCTCGTAGATCTCCCGAGCTGGGTCCTTTTTACGGTATTTTATGCAATTGCACTCCACATAAAGTCCACCTTACACAACAACTGAAGCCAGCAGTGGTCGGCGATTTTTCAAAAAAAGTTTCTTACTCGGAGGTTATGTCAATAACCATAATTGTCCCATTTAGGGCTCCGAGAAGCCTCAAACTATATAACAGAGGGGATATTACACAAAAAAAAAAAAAAATACCGTCTAGAGGGCTCCGAAAACGTGTTGGGCCTTACTTCTTTGAAAACGACAAGGGTGAGACTATTTAATCTTTAACTCTCGAGCACTCGAAGACCAACAATTGTCAAGCTATGTACCAAAAAGTGGTCGGATAATACCTTAAACGGATCGAATTATGCATAAATTGGCGATGGCCTCATTTGAATCAAGTATGAATCATATATTTTTGAAATTATAAAAAAAAATTTTATAAAAAAAAAAATCATGAGACAAATATTTTTTTAATGCTTTTATTTACATTTATTTTCGAAACCGCAAAACGGATATGGCTGTTCACATGTACTTATGTATATAAAAATGTAGTAGTGTATACGCATATGCATATAATGCGGCGCTTTAGTGTCATCTTAGTTGTTTGACGTTTAACGTTCAAGAAAAATGATGAAAATTTCGCCAACCTCAGTGGCATACCCACGGAAATATGTACATACATACATATATTCAACAAAATAAAAATGAATAAATTATTTGTGAGTACTCATATAGACGCACATACATAAACTGAACTAGAAATGGTTTATTTTTTATTTTTGGTTAATTTTTCAACGCTCAGCTTGGCATGTGATATACTCATACATATGCACATACAAATGTTAAGTGAAAAATGTTAAAATTTTTTTAATTATTTGTATATTTGTATATTTATATGTATGATTGTATGTATATATGTATGTATGTATGTATGTATGTATGTATGTATGTATGTATGTATGTATGTATGTATGAATGGAATTTCAAGTTTTTTTTCACATTTGGTAATCGAACACTCAAATTAATACGGAAAGCTATTAAATTAAAAAAATAGAAATAAATGTTAATACCGACTTTCCATTCATAAACTTGATTAGCTTTGTAAAGAAGAAAAGAGAAAAAATATGAAAATGGATGCTGGTGTGCAGCTAATCCGAGTAGCAGCAGCTGCACACTTATGCTAAGCAGCTATTGAAGCAAATTGGGAAACTTTAGACAATCCATTGTAAGGTGAGATGAGTGTGTTCCGTATACAATGCCGCTTAGCACTTGGAAATGAGCAGATTAGGCGCGCAGGTGACTGTATTCATATATTTATATTTAGTATGTATATGTGTGCAAACATACATACATACATCGTGCAGAGTCCGATGTTGGCAAGAAAAATAAGAAATTTGAGCCTTCGTTTATGGTTTTATTAATTTTTATTTAAATTTATTTTAAATTGAGAATTTCATAGTTTTATCAAGTAATTAATATACATATATACATATATACATATATACATATATACATATATACGTATAATAAGCCAAATTTAATTTCAATTAATTTTGTATCCTAGATTTCTGAGCTGTTTTCAGTTTTTCTGGGTCTCTTGACTTGGTCAAGATATTTCGTCAGATATCTCATTACCTTCAATGCCCTGGGGCCTTGCATCCAGTAAAGCTACACTCTTCTTGTTTCTCGACAGTACTTGAATCGCTTCTTTACGTAATGCGACCACAGCTGACTTTGTGCTGTATGAAATTAAGGCCTTCCTGACATTCAGACGCGGGATTGCGTGGGCTATTCGTCCGCTCAGGTGTAACGCTATATTACTGTGCTCGTAAGTCTTGACTCTCATTTGTCGGGAAGTATTAAGCCGCAGCATTACTATTCTGTATTTGGTTACCAGGTTTGCTGGAAGAATGATCAAAGTGGAATTTTCGGCGCAGATGGTGTTGTTTTGAGTGTCGCAGTGATGCCAATTATTGAAAGTTTGAATACTCTTTTCATCCTTTCCAGATATGTAATTTTTCTTATAGCTTTCCACCATTGGCGAGGGAAACCCCAAGAGGAGCCAAACATCCTTTTACATGTACATAAGACCTCTGATCCCTTTCCTCTACTTCCTCTACATTGAGTCTAAACGACAACTTCCTACCCAACACGTTTCTCAGATACTTAGGCTTACATTCATGTGGTTTTTTCTATTGTTGTTGCTGCTGTAGCAGCTAACAGGCCGGTGGTCCAGTAGGGAGAGGGGTGTAAGGTGAATTGGTTTTAGAAGGCATTCAAAGGGGTGGCTAGTATCATGTTGGGATTTATTGCAAACAGCACATACGTTGGGTATGGTCCAGTCAGTATATGGATCTTAATCGTTAATAGCCCAGTAGATATTGCTTACACAGCGAAACATCCATGCTCCCCGAGATGTGTCCCTGTGTAAGTGGTCCATAGGGCACCCCGCTAGGTACTTGAGACTTCTTCGAACAAACATTAACTATCAAGCCGCCAGACGCCAATATCGAGCAGTCATTAGCATTTGAGAAAGAGAAACTAAGTTTTGACAGATCCAGCGCTATCAGACAGTTCGCGCCTAGTGTAAAATTTGGCTAGGGACCATGAACTATCTGGGTGTTAAGGGTATTAAGAGCGATTGTGGTACTGTGCACTTTACGGAAGCCATGCTTATTAACTGCTGGGCTCAGTTAGTGAGTAAAGGACGAGAGCAGGAAGGTCTCAATTGTCTTCGCTACTGCGGAGGGGAAGTTGTTGGCCGATATGAGTTTCCCATATTCAAAGCTTCCACATTTTTAGCAGCAGGACCACTCTACCAAGTTTCTATATATCATCGGGTATAATCAGGGTGGTCAAAGACCAATTGAAGACCTAAGTCTTCCGGCATGCTTTCATCCGACAATATTGTTCATAGGAGCTGAAACATGCGCTTTCGGTTGGCAGCAGTACGTCGCTCCATATTTATTTATTTACACATACACATACATATCTTCATGTGCGCTTGTAATATTATGAAAACAGTAAGAAGTCAACAAACGTTGTTGTAACAGGTCATTTGCCCTAAAAATTCATTGAACTGCATAACTAATGAGCACACATGACGCACTTCGCCCTCAACCCGCTCATTGTCATACTTGAATACCTACATACATATGTACAGATATATACATACATTTTCGTTAAGAACGAGTGAGTGGCTGCGGCTAACAGATGTGCTAACGAGAGTTTTTGTTATTTCTTTGGTAGCTTCCAATTCCGATTCCCATGCACTTGCCGGCAAACAAACTGACACATGCACGATTTATTAATGTCACAATACCAGCTATAACAACAACAACAACAACAACAACACTAGCAATAAATGACAACGAGAACGACGACAACAGCAGCAACAACAACAGCAACAACAACAACGCAAATTGTTCGAAATGCGAACATCAACCAACTTAACCGCCGCTCAGCTGCTACTGGAGCCACCGCCTGACTGTAACGACAACTGCCGGCAACGCTAAGCCCGAAGGCATTTCGCTCCACAACGAAAGAAACGTCACTGCTCATGGAGTTGCTGTTGCGGCGGGTGACAAGTAAGGGGGATGACGACTGCAACAACAAAAAATTCAGCAGCATCATCCCAGCTCAAATAACGAGCAACAGCTTGAGTGACAACAAAAATAACAACAAAGCAAGTGTTCGTAGTAAACTCCACTTCAGTAATGAGTAGCTAAATGCACGTATTTCTTTATATATATACATATACTCGTATGCATGTATGTATATATGTGTGTGTGTGCGTCTCAATATGCCCACAATTTCATTGAACAAGTTGATATGACGCCAGCTGTCGTATGTATTTTGCTTTCAGCACTTGTTGTTGTTGTTTTTGTATAAACATTGGCAATCGCAACATTAAACTGACGGCTCAGATGTCGTTAAGCGGCTGGAAGTTTGGCTGCTGGCGTGAGCCGTAGATTCGCAGCGAATTGTAAGCGAAAAGAAAAATTGCAGCTTTCGTGTGTAAACCCGAATTTTCCTGACTTCAGTCTCGCTAGTCTGAAAAGTGCCAAATGCGGAGCTGCCGATTGATTTGAAAATTTTGTGGAGGTAAAGTTTTAACGGAAACCAAGAACTCTCATCAGCTGCTTGTTGTATTAAGCCTGAATAACACCCGCTGTGAACTCTATTAAGTCCTACTCATCGCACAGCCTCTTGCAGCACTCTTGTCAATCTGTCTGCACGGCGTCCGATCGGAAAAAATACCTGCCACTACTCTTATTATCTTGCGAATGCCGTCTCGTATTAATTAGTGTATTACTCGGAATCTCTTCCTGTCCCATTCCGTCTGGCTTACGCAGAGTTGCGGCAAGTGCTCGTTTGACTCCACTTTAACCCGACTTGTTCATAAGTAAATTCTTTGAGATGCAGCTTGCACGAGACAGACGAGACGAATTCGTTTCTTGCTATTTAAATTTG